CCCGCCGAAAGAAAAAATCAAAGGGTAACGTACCAGCACCAGGCACTGTGCACCAGGGCATGGGAGTAACGGAGCAAACAGGGCAAAGAGGCGGTAGATGGGCAGACAGCCAGACGTACAAAAACAAAGGCAACAGCAAAGCGAGATCAAGGTACCTGTGTGTGATGACGTCACTGGTTATGTAGAGAGACGCGGCAGAGATGGCGCGGATAACCCGGGTGCCTTAATTGTGCACCTGCATAATAGTGGAAGACCCCTTCAATGTGGAACGATTCCTAGTCAGTGTCGATGTTTTCACTACTGTGCCTAACACAGATGATCTGGATAGATTCGGGTGATTGTCAATTGCAATGATGGCTTTGGTTGGGCGTTCTTCTTCATTGTATGTCAACGGGCTCATTCTGACAGCACTTCAGACAGCAGCTCCATGCCCCGAGCTTGTGTACCATGCACCATGGTGTTATTATTGTACAGACNGCTTGCGTACCCTTGCCTTGCTAAGGGCTGTTTTATACATTCCAAATTTTTGTTCCAAAGTACAAATTTTCCGAAATTCCGGAACTTGTACAGAGGCGTTCGTCCAAATATATTCAAAAAATTCGGAACGAACCTGGGCGCCAAAATTTGTTCAGTAGGTTCCAAATTTTGCAAATATATTGGAGCATCACAACAAACCCAGCAGCTAAAGGACCTACAGGGCCAACTACAAGGGAGAAGCAGCAGCGGAGGGTACTTGGATGGCGGCAGGGCCATGGCGGACCGCAGGAAACGCGGCGCGCCTCTTGGTTCGTCGTGTGCTGGCCCACCGGGCCAACGATTCATGCGTGCGTCCGGTCGCCAAGAGCTGGTGCGGCAGATGAAAGCAGCTGCTGCTGTGGTGATTCTGGTGCTGAGCGCGGCGGCAGTGGTCACCTCTGTAGCTGTGCACGCTAGCGCTAACAAGACGCGTGCGGCTATCCACGAGCCACGGCGCCTGGTTTGGGAGGATCACGCTGCTGACCTCAAGAAGCGGAAGCTCTTCCGGAGGATGTATCGCATGGAGGAACCGGTGTTCAACAAACTGGCTGGGTTGCTGGAACCGATCCTCCAACGGAACGACTACTACGCAAGTGAGAATAGAGAGAGGGCGGGAGGGAGAGAAGGGGGGGCGGGGGGGCAGGGAGAGAGAGTGTGTGTGAGATTGACGTACGAGGCGCAGAACTCATGCCGTGGTGTTTTTCCCGTCCTTNTACAAGACGCGTGCGGCTATCCACGAGCCACGGCGCCTGATTTGGGAGGATCACGCTGCTGACCTCAAGAAGCGGAAGCTCTTCCGAAGGATGTATCGCATGGAGGAACCGGTGTTCAACAAACTGGCTGGGTTGCTGGAACCGATCCTCCAACGGAACGACTACTACGCAAGTGAGAATAGAGAGAGGGCGGGAGGGAGAGAAGGGGGGGCGGNACTCATGCCGTGGTGTTTTTCCCGTCCTTCCGTTTGTTGCTGATGTCGAAGTGTAGCATTGCAGAAGACCACGGTTGATGTATTGGTTAAAAGTGTAGACTCTACTGCTGCAGGAACAAAGCGAATCATCCCGCAGCACCACCGCCTGCACTCTCACACCAGCAGGATGGTGACCTCCGGTGTCTGACTAGGGTTAGGGAAACAGTTTCACCGCCCAGCACTTGCTACTTTCGTCTGCTGATACGTTCACGCTATGCTTATTTTGTGCTTCATGCGAAACAGGAAAACGGTATCGACGCGGTGNACTTGCTATTTTCGTCTGCTGATACGTTCACGCTATGCTTGTTTTGTGCTTCATGCGAATCAGGAAAACGGTATCGACGCGGTGCTGTTCCCACGAAGATCCGACTAGCTATCGGCTTGCGGATGATGGCCGGTGCTTCGTATCTCGATGTCGCCGTGCTGTTCGGCGTGTCCAAGGAGACGGTCTTCAGCATCTTGTGGCAGGTGGTGGATGCCATCAACAGCACAGCAGCAGAAGTTGGGCCGTTCGTTTTTCCGTAGAGCGAGGATGAGTGCACCCGGCAGGCAGCAGAATGGGAGGTGCGGAAATGATACACTAGTTTACAGCAGCAGGGTAGTTTGCATGTTTGCATTCCAGGTAGGTGACTATGATGTTGTGAACGAACACATGATCNCAGAGTCTGGCCCAAAACAAATGACGCGGATTGCATGGATGCATGCATGTCGGTCCTCCGCTCGGCAGAATATCCTGCTTGTCAAGACGCACCGAATATGGAGCGAGCGGGAAGCACTTGTGACAGCACGGGAAAACCTCTATATCTTGTGTCCACGTATTGGCTTGATGCATGGCGAAATGAGCTCCAGTCTGCAGAAAACATTGGCACGAACAGTCGCACTGTATTGATTGGAATGTCTAGGAGAGGGCTCGTCTTTAATTGCTCGCACACGCCTGTACGTTTNAAGACGCACCGAATATGGAGCGAGCGGGAAGCACTTGTGACAGCACGGGAAAACCTCTATATCTTGTGTCCACGTATTGGCTTGATGCATGGCGAAATGAGCTCCAGTCTGCAGAAAACATTGGCACGAACAGTCGCACTGTATTGATTGGAATGTCTAGGAGAGGGCTCGTCTTTAATTGCTCGCACACGCCTGTACGTTTTTTCTGGGGTAGTCGATGGGCTTGCCGCTGCCCGAAAATCAAACTTTAACGAATCTAAGAGCGCCTCTGTTGTGTCCCTCCCCGCGCGCCATGTCTATCCTCAGGAAAAAAGCACGGGCGGCGCCTTTCAAGGTGTAGTAGCTGCGGGGGATGGCCTCTTCGTGAAGACTCTTGCTCCGACTGCCCTCAACACTCCGAACGTTCTCTCGTATTATTCTGGGAGCAAGTGCGGCTACGGGATGAACGTGCAGGCGACGTGCGATGCCAACTACCGGTTTTGCAGCATGTCTTGCATTGCACCCGGCTCGACCGATGACTGGACGGCATGGAACCATTCGGATCTATCCACAGCGGTAAAAAACCTGCCGCCAGGCTTCTACATGCCCAGAGACGCGGGTTACCCCCTAAGCGACCACCTGTTGACTCCGTACTCAGGGAGGGGACTGCCGCTGGACAAAGATGCGTTCAACTTCAATCTGAGCCAACTCAGAGTCAGGATCAAGCAAGCTTTCGGCATTCTCGTCGGCCAGTGGGGCATCCTGTGGAAGCCGTTGCGTGTTCAGTTCGCTGGGCGCTGCGACCTCATCACGGCGCTCTTTCGCCTCCACAACTTTCTCCGGGACAAGAAGGTCACACCAATCCACCGGTCGGAGGAAGACGCCGAGGTGGTCCAGGTACGCCCCCACCTACTCGGCGACAGGACTCTGCCAGGAACTTTCAGAATTACCACCAAGACCACCAAGGACGCGCAGAAACCGACCAGGTCAGGCGAGTCTCCACGCGCAAGGGGATCACGACGATGCTGGACAAGCGCCAGTGCCGCCCAAAGCACAACTTGGTGCACAAGGCAGCGAGGAAGACGTGAGGGGTCGAACGCGGGCGGGCTGCGGTGGAGGGTGGGTTGGTCCCGAGGACGTACTACGTGGATGATGGACGAGACGAGGCAAATGCGGCGGTGGTGGCCTTTGAGGAGCGTGGGCCGTGGCTGGGGCGGGGGATGTGGACAATGGTGGTCTGGAATGCAACGCCTTTGGTGGGGTAGGGCGTGGGGGGGGTGAAAGGGAAGGGAAGGCGCACGGGCGGGTGAGAAAATTTTTTGTTAAGGGGGGAGAGGGTCGGGCGCCAAATCCATATGCGCCTCTACGAGGACGTGGAGACAATTTTGCGGAAGTCGTGTTTTATGCGTTACAAACATCATCAACCGGGGTAATCCCTGAGTGGTGTCCAGTAAGATTTCGTGTTGTTTCGTTTTGTTTCGGTAAGTGTTGTCGCTTTTCATGACGTCGTTTGTATGGGTGCCATTCCTGCGTTGTGCATGCATCTCTTGCGCGAGAAAATTCGAACGCTGCAGAGAGGTCGAAGGAGATTGTAGGTTTCCAAACGCATGGAGTATTTTTCAACGTTGGGCGTGTAAGGTAAGGGTGAGCACCTTCCCCCTTTTGTCGGGAGAATTTGTTCATGTCATAGTTGCGGAATGCGAGATGGTAACAGATTTTTTTTTTTTTCTGACCACACGATGTTGTCTCTAGGGAGACAGTATTGCCTGCATGGCATCATGGCGTAGACGTTCAGCTCCCACAGCCCGGGATAACCATATCGAGAATGGATCCGCGTTTAAAACGTTTTTTACGTTGTAATTGACTACGTTCGCGTCGTGAGGAGACGTTGTTTCCGAAGCATCTACGAATGCAGACTTTGGTTGGTGAAAAACACACCGACCAAAAAAAAACATGTGGTACTGCTGTACGTGGCTAAAAAAAATGAACTTTGGTCGTGCGCCATACGTTTTCTCTGCCTGTTGCCCCCCCCCTAGTCATCTGTAAAAAAACGCCACCATAAAAAATGACAAGTGGTACTGCTGTACAAACTTTGATCATACGCCACACGTTCTCTCTGCCTGTTGCCCCCCCCTAGTCATTTGTAAAAAAAACGCCACCATAAAAAAAGAAAAGTGGTGCTGCTGTACGTGGCTAAAAAAACATCTGAGATCAAGCGTGCGCTACGCATTCTCAAACACACACCCGACAAAAGACAAACGGTACGGCAAGTGAAAGCGATCTGCCCCCTCCCTCCCCCGCCCACACACGAAATATGTTACACCAACCGGCGCTAAAACACAATCGATCGCTCTTGCACATGTGGAATCGGGGAGGGACCGCGGGCTGTCCCTCAAAGGGGACTCTTGTCCCATTGGGCCATCTCGGTTCTAATGTTCGCAGTATTTTTCCAGAAAACCGACCATTTCCAGCGCCGTGCTGTCGCCGCCTGCCGCCTCTGCTTTGGCTTCTTTGAGATTTTTCGTGGTGGCTTTGAAAGATTTGAACAAGGTGTCGAAAAACGCCAATTTTGCGGTCTTGTCATCTACGATGTCCCGCGATGAAGGTGCCGGGGCGGGGGCGGGTTCGGACGCTGGTCGAAATAGCTCGCTCAATCCACCGGAGGGCTCCCTTTTGATCTTGTCACCATACTTGTACATGTCTCGGGGATGTCTCTACCTCTTCATTCGCCGGCTTTTACGGGACCTGGGTAGGGGAACAGGCAAAATGCAATAGGGGTAGGAAATGCCCCGCTGCATGTCGATGGGCAAGAAATCCTCTTTTCTCAAGGGGCATCGTCCCTCCAAGAATATCCACGGAAAGGGTCTGCCGAGCGGCTGCCTTCCCCACCTGACAAAAGACGGCGAGAGGACTCGGAGGAGTGAGGAAGCGAACTACGACGAAGGATACCGTAGCTTTGTACTGGCATTCTCACATGCGCATATAGACAGAAGTCATGTTTCGTACTTGCATCAATGCATCTGTTTTCTTTCATGAAATACATCTACCTTCAAAAATTATAGACCACATGACAAAACGTAAATCTCAACCTTTCTTTAAACCCAACGAGTGGTATACGACCATCCCTACAACCTTTGCTCTCTCGTTTTGGAGATGGGCAGCCCTTTCTTCGCATTTCATTGGCTGCCAGATCCCTTACACGTTCGATGTTGTTCACGGTATTCCATATTTCGCCAACGTCCCACTACGTACGAATGGCGCACTGCGGTTATCGTTTTGTTTTCCAAACAATTGCGTGCAGTGATTACCTTACGAACCACCGGGTAACCGTTGCTTTGTCATACAGATAAAACAATCGACGGGCGATCCGTGAGGAAATCTTCGCCAACGCCCACTTGTACCTTACGGAATGCGTCAATCGAACACACAAACGAAGTCCCCCGGTGTGCTGACTTTTCCCACGCCATGTTTGGTCGCAAGCTATACCTGATGGATACGACAACAACGTTTGGTTGGAGATCGAAAGTTCATCTGTAAGCTCTTAAATGTGGTGCTCTATGAACTGTCCACAGGCAACCATTCTACCGTCACCACCCTCACGAGGAAACTCCAGAAAGTGGTGGGAGAGGCGAAGCTGGGACCTACTCATACACCAAGAGTACCTACAATGTCTCCCGTCGTCGGATGGGCGCGTGTGTTGGACGGGGACTGATCTACGTTGTTTTTTTATCTAACTGCGAGACAACGTATTGTATTCGGTTATCGTGCTGCTGTAGTTTTGCGTGCCACCCTGTGTTGTTCTGTCTTACAGAGTGTAATTTCGTGGTTGTACATGAGGATTGTTTTCGTTATGTACGAAGGTTGTTGCTGCTTCCGGCACGACGTCACTCCGTTGTTCTTCATCTGGCCCATGGGTCGTCAAGTAGTATTTATATAATAGTGTCTCCCAATCGATGTTAACTTCCTTCGTATTGCTTTGTTTTACGAACGGTTCGGTGGTACTTTTCTTTGAAGGTCAGTAGGGTTCTGTCTGACTGATCTATAGACTACATTGGTACCGTCTTCGTACCTTTGTCTTCTCCTGCATTGCCGTACCGTACATCGCCTCCTTCACATTTTAGCCTGCCAGATTACGGCCATATGTTTTCTAGTTTGGAGGTTGTTTGCTGTTGCTTCCCGGAGCATTCTGTGTCTCTTTCCTACCAGCAGGAAATTTTATACTTGGATAGGAGGATGTTGCTGCTTCCGGCACGGTTTCCCCCCATTTTTTTTTTCTGTGTGCCCATGTCAGTCAGTCTGTCTACATTGATATTGTTTCACGTTTGTTTCTCGTTCTTCGTGCGTTTTCGTTTGGATATTGGGCGTCGGCTACGAACGATAGTTGTTGCTTCCCGCGTAAATATGCTGCACCTTCCTTCGAAGCTCAAGAGGTACACGTACGTTTTTCGATCTCGAGGTGAAGCCTGCGCAACAAATATTCTACTGTTCTGCCGTCGTCCCCGGCGACCTCCTGCGACCTATTTGTCGTTGATGGTTCTGTCCTGTACTCCAACCTGCAATTATCCTGCTATAATAAGCCATCTCGGAAGTGTCCTGCATCACTTTTCTTTCTAGACCACCCATCTGCAAACCATGCTTCAATATCACCGTCGTTTCTCTCTTAATTTCCCTCTTCCTACATATTTTAGTTCTTTGCCTCCTTGGCCGTTCCCAGTCAACGCCACAGCACCTGACGCTTTTCTTCGACTGCGAAGGGTAGCTGGCGACCGACAGGTCGCCGCGTTGATCCCTCTTGTAGGAGTAATACGTACGACGATCGCAGACGACGGGTCACACACGGACATGATACCTCCGCGAAAACAGATTTTGAATCGATTCGAAGCAATTGCAAACCTTGTTGGTGGTGAGTTGCGAGCGCGCTGCGCGGTGATCTCGTTCCTTCTACCGGCGGGGGCGACAGCCAGATGGATATACGGGGTCAGCATTTTTTTTTTTTTGCAGCTTTCCTCGCCAAAAAAGGCACGGAGGCATGTTTGATAATAGCCCAGAGGACCCGCAGATCGTCGGCATACGTATGCATGCAGATGTACAACGTACAGCCAACCTTGCAACCAACCCACACAGCCCTCTCGCGGCCAGCCGATCTTTTTTTGCCGCAGGATGGGACGACAAGTAGCACTGCTGTTGGCAGTCTCAAGCGTCACATTGTGGTGGGCTGCAGTGGATGCTTTCTTCGCGCCAACTCCGCCGCTCCTTGTCGGCCTGGAGGCTCAAGCTGGCAACACAAGAATCCGTGCGCTCACAACCGACCGCGGTGGGGAGCGAATAACTAGGACAAGATGCGATGCTACAGCCGTAGGCGGAGCTGAAGAAGAGGCTGAAGTCGTGGTGATCGGGAGCGGTATTGCAGGGTGAGGTACTGATGCCGGTTCAACGTACTGTCTCCGTCGCTGACGTGTCTATTCGGCGGGACTGTCAGCAATCTGGCTCCCGCTTCCATCTGCCTGTCTTCCCTCTCTCTCTCTCTCTCTCTCTCTCTCTCTCTC